GAACAAATAATTTTTATCATGAAAGGCATTTTTTAATCTACGCTATCATACATTTGTTGCGCGTTATAAGTTAAAAATTAAATTATTATTTTCTCTTTCAAAGTTATACAGCGACACCATTTTGAATTTTCGAAAAGACCACGGTTCATTTAAAAGCTCTTTTCAAGACGAACATTTTCCGGGGTCAAACGTTGAAATCCGTCCATATCAATTTTGAACAGAGGCTTGATCGATTTGGCAAAGAATGCCCCATATATATATTGTCTATTACGAGGACCTATAATATATACGTGAAACGTATATTACAAGGACACTTTCATTGAACCATTGTATATTATGCAGACCAAACGTCATTGTGAGGATGGTTTCCATAATAATTTTTATGGAACGTATGTTATGTAGACCGAACTCATAATGTTCATATGGACTACTGTACATTATAAGGACCATTTTTATAATTACACAAAATGTACATTGTAAGAACTGTTTTAATTATTACGTTGCGTAAAAAATATTTTGAGGATCGTCTTCACAATGACGTTTGATCTACAATGGTTCGATGATAATGTCCTCGTAATAAACGTTTCACATACATATATTAATACTGAAATATACACAACTTCTTGAGCAATAGGCAGTACTAAAAATGTATAGTAATACGTGTAACCGATACTGAAGTCGGTAGAGAGAGTACGTTTTTGGTACTCACAAACAACATTGATATATATTTGATGATATTTCATTAATCATAATGTAAAAAAAAAATTCAATTAATTCTAAATTAAAAACAGTGGTTTATAGTAGAAATAATATGTATGCGGCAATATTTTGTCAGAACATATAATTGTGTTTTATTATAAATTAATTTATCGGTCTACATAATATACAATTAGTGTATAAGAACAAAAAAGTTTAATAACTCAGAAAATATAATCTATATATATAAAATATTAATGACAACTTTATATATATGCTAATGTATACCTATGTATACAGAGAAATCTATAGGTCCTCACAATATACGGTTCACATACATATATATATATATATGTATATATACAGGGTGGACCATCTGAAGTGATCCAGTCAAATATCTCGAAAACTAGTAGGGATAGAGAAAAATGTTTCGTATGAAAAGTTTAGGGTTACACGGGGGAAGTATGGTACTGACCTTGAAAAATCCTTGGAAGGTCATTTTGAAGGTCATTCAGGGGTCACGATGGTTTTTTTAAATGGAACCCCTAGTTTTTCACCATGGGATGAGAAAGCTG